TGCTTCATGGAACACTTATGCTATTTATAGAGGCTTTAAACGGCCTACACCTTCCTTTGCACAGAACATAGCGAGGTGTGAGACACCCCCTGCATCACAAATATATAAATGCAATCACAGTCTGCTTTGATTTCCAAGGCCATTTAGGCAGAAGGTGAGTGGTTGGAGACATACAAGTGAAATCATCAGGGTGGTTTTGAAAGGTGTTAGGTGTACAAATAATGATAACTGCCGTTAAAAGAGACTTTCTGTAAGTCTGAGTAATTATGATTGGTCAATCTCTAACACTATAGTACCATATCACTCATCACACATATCACTTCACTACTGTCTCTTTCTTCTCACATAATAATTTTAAACAAAAAAAATCAATATTTTATAACAATTTACTTTTTTGTTAAACAGACATTCAGTTGCAATAATGACTGACCAAGTGTACATTAATGATTTCTTCAATCCTTCACTCTGAAATATTGTCATTCAACTAAAATCTCTCATTTCTTCTTCTGACCATCTTGCTCCCTTCTCATCATGTATGCACTTCTTCCTCTGTCTCTGTTCCTCTCTTTCTCTTCCTCAGCTCTATCCAGATGTAGAACATTCTGCCAGCTCTTCTTCAAACTCGTAATTTTGCAATTAAGACTGAGGTGGCAAAAGAGGCTCTCCTAAGCAGCTGGCTCACCATCAAGCTGACAGCAAGAGGAAATCCTCTTTTATTATTTACTCACTGTTTTCCACATGATTAAGGAAGAACCAGATCACAGCTGTGCCTGTATTCCATAGGAATATGTAAGCCTTCCTCAGATAGTCTCTTTCTCTTCTTTGAACGCACACAAAAATTGCCAGTGAGTGGCCAGCTTGTTATTTGTGTCTCTTTGCTGCTTAATGGCTGATGGATTCACTGTTACATTAAAAAGTCTTGAAGGCAAAATAATTTATTATTTCCCTTGAAGTACACAATGACATTTTTCATGGGTCATTAGAAAAGAAATCCATGCAATTGGACGAAAATTTCACCACACAGATTTCGCAGTTTTCCCACACTCAATGTCCACACCTTATATCTCAAGTCAGGGTGACCCAGGAACTGGAGATATTCAGTGTAAACGCAATAAAAGTAACGCGAGTTACGTAATCAGATTTCTTATTTCAAGTAACTAGTAAAGTAACTCATTACTGTTATATTTACATTAAAACATCTTTTACTTTTTCAAATGAGTTATTCCCATTTATTCACGGACACCTCTCCTGTCCCCATGTTGAGAGAAATTAGGAGTGACTTCCTTCAGCCTGAGGCTTATTAATTACACTTTAGGTATGAAAGGGCCAAGTAACGCAACAATAACATAATGCATTACGTTCCATAAAGAGTAACTAAGTAATGCAACTTATACAAGCTAATCTGTTATTATTCATGCATAAAAATTACATGGATAATACTGAGCTAACAACAGTTCAACATAAATAGTAGGGCTGCACGATTAATCGCATGCGATATTTAACGCGCATCTTATCAGTAAAGCCGGTCTGTAATCAGCGGTAAATCTCCATCACCTGCGTGCTTTCACATTGAGCAGCATTAACTACACAGAGCCGTTGTTCACTGACGAGCTGCGCTAAACCACGTTCATATTCGCGCGATTTTTTGCGCTGCTCATCAGTGAACAACGGCTCTGTGTAGTTAATGCTGCTCAATGTGAAAGCACGCAGGTGATGGAGATTTACCGCTGATTACAGAACCGGCTTTCTGACAAGATGCGCGTTAAATATCGCATGCGATTAATCGTGCAGCCCTAATAAATAGTTACAAAAAGTGAGTCGCCAAAACTTCAGAAGTGTATTTTGGATGATTTTTGTCTTTTATGATTAGTCACAATGTTCTGGAATGTTCCAGAAAGCACTAGAACATAGGTCTTCAACCCTGCTCCAGGGGACCCACTGTCCTGCAGAATTCAGCTCCAAACCTAATCAAACACACCTGAAACAGCCAATCAAGGTCTTCAGGACTACTTGAAAAGTCACAGGCCAGGTGAACTTTGCAGGACTGTGGGTCTTCAGGAGCAGGGTTGAAGACCTATGTACTAGAATATTACAGAATATTTCGGAATGTTACAGAAACTTCTAGAATGTTCCCAACCTTGTAAAAGCAAAATATCTTTAAAAAAATTTGTACTGTAGAAAAACTTAAGTGTACTAAACCAATGTTTCATAATTAATGATAGAAGTTCTAAAATGCATTATTGTACCCAAATAGTACAATAATAATTAGCACCACTGAATTACAGAACCATAAAAAATGTAAGTGCAAGAATTTCATTGGATGAAAGGCATTTACTGTCTACAATAAATAAATGAATAAATAAAATCCTCACTTTTATAAATAAATATAACTTTTCTACCATAACTTTACACAATTACAGGGTAGTCGCATTTCATGCACTGCATTTAGAGAGCCACAGCTGTGTAGGTTCATTCTGTACCATGAATAAAAAGTCTAGTTTTATTTAGGACATTTTCAGAACTGTAGATCTTTTGCTATGTTCCAAAACAAGGATTAAAGTTACAATGTTGCATTTTCTCCTTGGTTCGGTTCTCTTTCGCAAAAGAACATTTCAAAGTGTACCAAGTATGTTTATGTAGGTCACGCTTTTCCCATTATGAATTATGATACAGCTTGGTCCTTTAGGTCTTTCTCAACACAAATGAACCATTCGGGCAATCTCTAACCGATTGGTTTGGTGCAGATCTAAGTGCAATTGTCATATTCACATATGCCAAAACAAATCAAACTAAGGGAGAAAACATCAGAAGTCAGGTTCCGAAACAAACACTCCTAACAAGCTAGGTATGAAAGCTCCCTTATAGGAACAATTCACCCAAAGCTCTCTTCTATTCAACTAAAGTGAATGGGACTGTCAAGATTTAAAAAAAAAAGACAAAAAATACCATAAACATTTAGTGCAATACTCTTGAAATCATTAAACGAAAAGCATGTCTTGCTCTTCTGGTGCATTCACAATACACACCAAAAGGAGGAAAAGAAACTGCACAAACTACAATGAACTAATAATGAACAAGATGTATAGTTCCTACACTGTTCTAACAGAGCTTCACTCTTTTAGGAATAATCTACAGGAGGCACAGACAACTTTGCTCTCCAGCAGAGAACCCCAGGTTTCAGCATGTCTGAGCATGACCTTGCAGAAGAACTCCCTTTCTCCCCCAGTTCCTATGGGGTCCGGTATTCCAGATAAAGTCAGGGCTGCTCTCGCAAATCAATGGAGGGTTTCAACAGGTTTAGAGAAGATGTGAATAGATTTAAGAGCGTGTCTGAAAGAAAAAGAGCTAGGAACAGAGGGAGAGAGGAGAAACATCGAGCAGTGGGTAAAGTCATCATACACTCAACTGTGCACCTGTAATTAGAACTAGTGCTGAAGCCTGTGGTGGAAAAATGGAGAAGTGCAGCACCGCAGAGGGTGCCATTGACCTGCTGTGACCGGTAATTGCAGTCATCTTAAAGAACATCCAGTGCCTTTAGTGCATAAGAGGGGAGCAGGAATTAAATCACTTTTCCAGGGTAATTTAGTCTCATACAGTTAAGAAAACAGCTATCCACAGGTCTTCAGGTACAAATTGCAATGTTAGAAAATGTGCCAAAACTTCACACTTCCAAGTCATACTGCCTGTGCAAGAGTTTGAAAAAAGCTATCCGGATGGGTGTCCCGCAGAAATTTGATAATTATACTCATGAGACAAATGGGAGGCATGAACATCTGCAGTGAGGACATCGTATGCTTCAAATCTGAACAATTAAGCATGTAGAATCAGACTTCCGCTGTTAAAATGATTTGAAAATCTAATTTAAATGAGAAATGTAGATATCGGAGATTACCTAATAAGAATATCTGCAGGATCATCTATTTTACCAGTGTGCAAATTTCTAGGTTATTAAAAGCCCTGTCAATTACTTTCCATTTTACTGTCAAGATGCTTTGTATAATACCGTAATATCTACTCTACAAAAATGAAACACTTGAGGCACCATTTTGAGATATCCAAGAACATCAAACTGGTGGAAACCTATGGAAAACCTCAAGGCATCCTTTCAAAATGGACCGTATAAGTTCATGCAAGACTCTAAACACTGTCAGCGTGTCCTCCAGTAACACCATCACAACAAAAAAGCTTTGAGACATGTCAAATACACTGAAGGTCCTTGAAAATGATTTACTGTTGCTGCAAGACATTTATAAATACCACCACAGGCACTTTACACTTTCCGAGATCTTTCAAAATATTTAATGAATAAATTCCTACCTTGACACTGAAATCCTTGTTTCCCAAAACCCCTGAAAGATAAAACCAAGGGTTCATTCAAAAAAATAATGAAACCATAATTTTTAAACATTTACACTTGCACTACATCACTTTGTGGTTTGGCAGTTGTCTCATGTAGTATGACTCATTTCTTATTTCTTGTACTGTCTTGTATTGTCTTGTATTGTCTTGCAACTGCGAACAAGTCATTTTTCATTCACATGTTTACATTTTATTTTATTTTGTACTAACCATCCTTTACTTTGGGAAATCAATAATGCTGTGACTCGAAACCAAGCTCCTACCGAAACAGCATTTTGGCCATTCTAGGCTTGTTGAGAGTCAGCTGAGTCTACATATGATACCCACAAATGAGTGCTGTCTAGATAGACAGCACAATAGGTCTTGAGACAGTGTACAGTGCTACACATGAGCTGGAACAGTAACAGGTCCACCTCTATGGAAAGCCATTTTAACATTTATTCCTTAAATTAACTAGAATCTGTTTAGTTTACTATACCTATTTTTATTTGTTATTAATTTATTAGACAACAGTGTCTTTTCCATTCCATTTTTACTAGAAACATTTCAAAGTTAACTAATAAGACATTTAAATTAACAGCAAAGGAGCAGTTCTGGCAAGTCATTACGTATAAGAACACATTTTAAGACATAAACTAGTGCCTCACATATAGTTACTAGCATCTCTCTATTAGTAAAAAGAAAATGTTATAGCAAAATGGATGGCAACCGCCGGATTTGTTACTAGTAACTAATGAATGAGTACTAATAGTATCTGCTGAATATGTACATGCATTTTAATAGACAGTTGCATGTGCATTTGACGGCTACAAGTCACTACTGGATTACTTACTGGATTAATTAAAAAAAAAAAAACAACTAGCAACACAATATTACTTAGTTTAAATGAATGAATGTTAAGACAGCTTGCCATACACTTCAGTAGGCAATTAACTTAGAGCGCACAAACTCTCTTACCAGATAAAGTCCGTGCAGTGGCTGCAGAAAGTAGGCTGCTTGAAGAAGCGAGCGATAAACTTGTGGTTCTTAACTTCGTGAACGTTTTTCTGTCTCAGGGCACCTTGTCGGGCAAAGCCCCTCATGGGTGCGCTCCTCTCCTCTCCATCGCTGTTCGATTGCTCTGCCATTCTCAACGCGGGGAACGTTTGCCAAAGCCTGTACACTGGAGTGAGTTGTGCGGAGTGCGAACATGTAATGCAAAGCTCTCAGGCGCGATGCTTTGCGTCCCTCTCCGCCCAAGTGCCCTCCTTGCGCACCCGTACACGCACACACACTCTGACGCGCTGTTACAAGACTCCTCCCACCCTCCCACTCATTTACCTTTGGCAAGCAGAGCTGATTGATAGAGAGATTCTGTCAAACCTCTCTCACATTTACATGAAAGAGCTCAACAGCATAATGAGAAGGAGACAATGGAAAACATTTATGAGTAGGTAATGAAACGCGAGGCTCATGCAAATTTATACTACAAGAAAAGTGTCAATCATAGGCTATAGCTCGTCCCTACCTTGCTGATACTGTAAAGTTGAACACCTACTCTAAGGTGCACTTTAAGTGTATTTTCTTTCTAAATACTTTTTTCATACAATATAACTAGCACTTTAGATAAATATTATTAGAATCATTTACAGCCCATAAAGCGATTTATTCTACATGGAGCCGGTCGCCCCCTCATGGGCACTAACAACATATTGACATCACATGACCAGCTGTACAAAACGAACAGACATTTTTCTAAGATTACATTTGTCTGGATTAAATTGAATGTCCTTTACATGTATGTTTTAAATACGAGACATAAAGAGGAACCAAAAAGGAAAAAAGGAACAAAACAACATACATAACTGCTTCCAAGAAATTAGTAAACAAAACTATAACTATAATAAACTTCATGCTGACTGATAGATGTCAGTTCACAACCACTGGTTAAATTGGGATGAATATGAGCCAGTTAAAAATAGAATTTACCGAGTGCACCTTCAACATTTAATTAATTTAAACACTGCATATTCATACCTGAGGACTGATTAGACCATATCAAGATAATTAGGAAATCATTCCTAAATTTAATTAGCCTGTATTTTATTACATATATCAAATTATAAAATGTGGTAAAATAAGAAAGAATAATTATGTTGTGCAGGGAAGGAACTACCACAGACAATATGTGGATTTCAGTGGTTGATTCTTATATATTTTTGTTCATCCGAATCCTGAATATGTGGTTAAATCTGACTATATGCATGAAAATGCCTCCTAAAGCGCCAACAAATCTGTCATTACTGAATATGTAATACAATGTTGTGAACAAACCTTCAGGTTAAGAAACCCATTAATGATAATACAGTTATAATTGTAGGCCTACCAAAGCATTTTCTTAAAGGTGCAGTAGGAGATCTCGGAAAATGCTAACTTTAGCCTGATGGCACTGAAAGCAAACCCTGTAATCGGCGTGCAAAGCGGCAAAGCCACACCCCCTGAACGCATAGGCACACCAGACGACCAGAGACAACATTACTACAATACATAATGTGTCATTCACCGGTGAGAAAACTTTAACTTTTAACTAAAACTTTTAGCACAGTAAGTAAAAGTATTACAATACCAGGAAGGAAGATCAGGTTGTTGATGTTTGTCTGCCATTCTCGCTCTGCTTGCACAGTATGTGAATGTGCTGATGATGTATGCGAACAGGGTGCACAGAGGTATGCAAATACATATTTGACAGGCAGGTAGGAAAGCCAATTAAAATGCTCGGACCGAACGTTTTGATTGGACGAACATTTCTTGGTCCTACACCTTCCACAGAATATATAAATACAGATAAATA